AATTGCATTATTGATTAATATTTGATCTCTTTTACTAGTTATGATTTAGTTTTACAAAAGTATGAAGTTTGGCATACATCAGATATTGTTGAAAATTGATACAACTAGATAAAGAACATGCAATATATTTACCTTTATATCCTTATTATGCTTGTAGGTTGTTAAGAAGATAATAGATGCCAGTATTTTTTTCATATTGTTTTAAATCTGTAATATGAATCCACTGCATTCTGAGTCATGAGTAATGTCTTTTGATATATTTGTACAAAGCTAGGCTTGTATTCCATTATAATGTACTTATAAAGAGAGGGACTCTGTTTGAAATCCAACTGTGTTACGCTGTTATCTAAAGATACAGGTCTATACATTCAAGTATAAAATGAATTTCATATTTGTCTTTTGCCGCCTGCAACTGCGTTCTTTCAATTTTGACCTGGATGTAGAACAGTTATACTTTGATATAAGAAATCTATCAAATCATTTAAATATCACGCATATGAAATAATTCGTTTCAGTATCTGTATAAAGAGAATATATCTAGTCACTCTGGTTAAAGAATGGCATTTCATTTTTTCCAATTTTAATAAAACAGTCATACATAAATGCTTAACATTTTTTAAAACTCAAGATCATTATTCACAACCATCGGTTCTTTCAAAATTCTCCGTTGTGTCTATAGTATAAAGTTTGAACACAATATGGTTAATGAGATTTTTAAAAATTTAATTAGTCTATATATGTCAGCATCATTATAGAAACCTTAGATGTACATATTCAACAGATCATCGTTATACTTGAGGATATATGAACAATTGCAGTCAAAAAAGAATGAAAAAAAGAAAATTAATGAAATAATATCAAATAAAAACTAGATCAGTTTGTATTAGTATTACAAACATCATTCAAAAAAGACAATATAATAATCCTTATTACTATGCAATATGTATTGTCCCTGTTTTGGTACTGCTGATATTAAGAAGCTTGCGTGATTCTCGTACAGAAAAGAACTGAAATCACTATGTATCTGTTTACCTAGACTTGGGTCAAAATATCAGTTCATGGATTGACAGGTTCTTTGAGCTGTCGTTATTCTTTCACCTTACTAACTATATATTTACATTTTTTCCTCCCTTTTTGTTACTGATTCTTAGGCCTATACTTTAAGCTGACTTAAGACATTTAGCATTAAAAAGTAGAGATATGTTAGCATGTGCTAGAGTGTTTACATTGTAAAAACAAGAAAGTGATTATCACATTACACATTTTAACTTTTTTTAACATTTTTTTTATCTCATCACAGTAGAAATGGACACAGATAGAACACAATATAATGCGACAAGGAAGAAGATATGTGTATACACAAAGATCCTTAGATACTAAGCCATTTCATGACCTATCACATATGCACAGTATAAAATATTCATAGTCAAGAACATAATCCAGGATAAGCCACAGTAATAGTTCTAGGCGAGATGTCGGAGAACTTTTCAGGAGCAGGCTGACTAGATTTGTTCCTTGATACAGAGAACATGAGTCGTATGCAACATTGTTTAAAGACAAGGAGTGTGTCCACTGTTTGCAACATATTAGATCCACATCAGTCATTCATTTTATGCACCACAGGGCACAGATATGTCAGAGTATATAGTTTGAGATAGATCATTGGAAAAAGAAGAGGATAATTTATCTAAAACAACACAATATTAATGTTATTTTCTCAGCTGGATTGTGTACTATTCTGGGACGGTTGGGTTGTGCTGTCTTCAGCCTCCACCCCTCTTCTCTCTAAGCTTGACAGGTTGGCAGGTCGGAGGATGATACCTTCCAGCCTCCAGCCTTGGGTTACGTTGGGTGAGATCAGAGTTTCTGTTTGGCCTGACACACTGGACACTATAGCGGATGGTTGCAACTCAGGGGCTATAGTGCCAGCTGTCTGCGGGCTTGAAGATTCGGTGGAGGACTGGGCGTTATTTGATCCCTGAGCAGATGTTCGATCCTGAGTAGGTTCCGCGGCAACAGCCTGAGTCTTGTCGTCTGAAGAAGGGTTGGTCAGGCAGTCCTCGTAGGAAGGAGGAAGGTCCGGGAGCAAGGCTCTGCTCTCGGGCTCTGCGCCGGGAGTGGCAGGAGAGACGTCCGTGGCAGTGGTGCCCGTGCTGTAAGGAGGGGGAGGCCCGGCGGTGAACACCTCGGTGTACGCAGGAGGTTTGTCTTGGTCGAGGGGGATCTGGTAGATGCGCCGCGATTCCGGGTCTCCCACATATAACATGTTGCTGAACGGAACTATGACCATCTGCCCGCCGCCTTGTTGCGCCTGCTGCTGGGTGCCCACGGCGCCGTCCTCTGCGGTGGAGGCGTCGTCCTGGCGAGCGCAGGAGAAGGTGCCCCAGCAGCAGTACACGAGGATGAACAGCAGCACGATGATCATGACAATCAGCGCAAAAAGCGCCTGCGTTGTTGATGGGTAGTTCATGGCACCTGAAAAGGGAAAGTGGATGTTGATTCTTACGGTTTTTATGTACTTAAGACTAAATGTTATCTAAAAACGGCTCTGTAGTTTCCAAGTCGCATAGAATCATTTAGAAAAGTAATTTATTAAATATGAAGCTTAATGTTTTTTTAAAGCTAAACATCAAAGCCTAATATCCGTATAACATATGAGAAAAAAATAAAATTCATACTGCCTACAACTGCACAAAACGTAATAAGAGAATTATGCGAATTATATCATCCATATGATTTCAATTTGCGTATAGATATAATGCACACAGTTACGGGCATACAAGCACACACAAATGGGTTTAATGAAAGGTGAGACAGTAGTTTCGAAAACCGATAGATTTATCTTTTAATAACCTCTTTTCACCTATAGAGGATATGTTCTACCGTCTTTGGAGGACATTGTAAACTTCCAGATGAATTTCAACAAAAGTATGTCATCAAAGAGATCTATAAATACATCCCCTCCCTATATGTCGCCCTCTTTTATAAGTAAGTCCATGTTGCAAAATGAACAACGAAGGGAGGAACAAGAAAACGCACGAATATGTCGAGGGCCCTTTCGCTACACTTCGGCATATTCGTGTGTTTTTCTGGTCTTCCCTTCGTTTTTCCTTTTTCCCCATTTGTTCGACATGAATTCCACGCCCAAAATAAGTCCATAGATCACATTTTGAGAAACGTGGATGAATTTCAACGATGGTATGTCCCTAAAAGAGATCTATAAGTGCATCCCCTCTATATTTTCTCCCTTTTTTTGACAAATAAGTTCATAGACCACAAATAGAGAATAAGGAGTGCCTTAGACCCCCTTACTATCCTTACTTACGCCTCTCGATAAGAAAACTGTACCTCAAATTATGTTATCTATGTCATTGAAGAGTAAAGTTATTGTGTAGTTAATTTAATGAAATCAATGCGGGTGTTATTAAAATGTAAGTTATCGTGCAGTTCGAGTATGTCTGTCTCACAACATATATATTATTTGTAAGTATGGTAGAAGTGACATATCGATTCCTGGCTGGCTGGATGTGCAGTTTCCGCGAATGTAAAGATGAATAGGAAAGGGGGAAGGAAGGAAGAGGGGAGAGCAGAGAGAGAGAGGAGAGAGACCCTTCCTAGTTTTTTTCCCTTCTCTCAATACATATGCTTACCGGCGTGTTTCTTCTGTGTTCTATGGGCTCTCTCTCTCTCTCTCTCTCTCTCTCTCTCTCTCTCTCTCTCTCTTTCTCTCTCTCTCTCTCTCTCTCACTCTCCTCTACTCTCCTCCTCACCTCATCTTCTCTCTCGTCTCCCTCTTTCTCTCTCTCTTTCCACCTCTCTCTCTCTTCTCTCATCTCACATCTCTCATCCTCTTCTCCTCACCCTCTCTCTCTTCTCTCTCTCTCTCATACTCTCTCATCTCACTTCTCACTTATCTTATCTCTCTCTCTCTCTCCTCTCATTCATCTCATCTCTCTCTCTCTCTTCACTCTCTCTCTCTCTCTATCTTCTCTCATCTCTCTCTATCTCTCTCTCATCTCTCTCTATCTATATCTTTCATCCTCTTTATCTCCTCTCTCTCTCTCTTATAAGTATCCTCTCTCTCTCTTTCTCTATATATCTCTATCTAATATCTATCTCTATCTCTCTTATCTCATCTATCTTCACATCCTTCTCCTGCATCTTCTACTGTAGTGTTGTGTATGTGTGTGTGTGTGTGTGTGTGGTGTTGTGTGTGTGTGTGGTGTGTGTGTGTGTGTGTGGTATATATAATTGATTAATGTATGTATGCTATTATGGTATACCATTGTGTGTATGATATGTGTGTGTGTGTGTGTGTGTGTGTGTGGTGTTAGATGCATATTAGGTTAGCATTATAAGTATGGTGTGCGATTGTAAATGTTATGTAGTGCTTGGTCATAATAGTAGGTCAGTATATATTGAGTATAATATATACTATATGTATGTATGCATGTTAATACATGTTAACTTATGTATACATTATATATGTTAATGTATGTATGCATTGTAATACATGTAAACTATGTATACATATGTATATATTGTAATTATGTATACATGTAAACTTGTAATACATTATGTATGTGTGTGTATAGTATAATATATATATACTGTGATACTGTATTCATATGCATATTTATATGAATAATATTTATTAACATTTATATACATATGTGTATGTAATATGTATGCTAATAGTGTGAGCGTGTTAGTGTGCGTGCTGTGTATGTGTTTTGACGTTAGTGTTGTGACGTGTGTATGTGTGTGTGCGTGATGTGTGTTAATGTGTGGTGTGTTGTGAGTGTGTGTGTGTGTGCTCACGTGTATGTGTGTGTGCGTGTGTGTGCGTGTGCGTGGTGTGTGTGTGTGCGTATGGTTGCGGTGGTGATGGGTGATGATGCTCTACACAAGGAAACATTTTTTTTATAAGTAGCCCTTGAGTTTTCAGCTAAATACAAATACTCTCAACCGTACATTCATTATATGAATTAAACTTCAGTGAAGCTAGATATGTGTGTGTATAATATATGGAGTTGCCAAGTTTATATATAATTTCCAAAATTAGATAAAATAAGACAGCAATAAAGATCCCTTTAGGTAATAAATAAATAGATGGAACTATTGATAACCGCATGATATTCATTACCATTTAACTATATATATAATAATATTTTTTCGAGTTGTAATCAATAATTTTGGTGTGATGGTTAGCGATATAATATCCCAAAATCCAGGAGATTTTCTGTTTATATGCAATTATTCAACTACAATATTAATTATATTAATTGTATTATTTAGTGTTGCAATGCTAATGGCAAATACTCGTAGCTAAATACGTATACAAGATCATTGACACGAAACGTCTAAATCAACAACGCGTGATCGGCATAATCCTGTACTAATCGCATCGCACAGCACGGATAGCAAATGAGCACTGGTCATCGCAACAGTGCTATCGACACGCTAAACGCACACACATCACATCACAACTAAGACACACACACACACACACACACAACACACACACACAAGGACATAAACAGCCAAGTACTAGCACGTCTCTCCTAATCGACACAACGCACGCAAGCAACGGAATGCACTGATAGAGACGTAAATAGTGGATAAGAAAAACATATATATTTTGTCCAATGTAATACACACACTCAGCCAAAGATCAACACCACCACACTCACTACACAATTGCCTAATAATGTATACACACACACACACACACACAAAAAGTACATGGCAACGCGAAACAACACAATGATGCTATCAATCGCCCACTGTTTCACACGAACAACTACAACACATATCTGACGAAGATACAATTGAATGCATTATCACATCGAGCAGAAAGAGAATAGAGAGCACGAGATTATGAGATTTGGATAACGATTATAGGTTTTCTATCTTTTTCTTCTTGTATACTATTTTTGTGTGTTATTAAAGAGTAGAGGAACGAAAAGAAATAACTAATCCAAACAACACCATGACTAACCCATATATGGAACTTAAAGTGAAAAATAACAAGAAAACGCTCATGTATACAGAATATAAGGAAACAATTGAGGAATATAAACGGAACCACTTAAAAAACAAAGTGAGCAGTGCATAATAAGAATAGTATAGGAGTTTCTGTAAGATCACAAAAAATGCAATGGTAAGAAAGAGGAGAGGAACAAAAAGTCAGACAAAGAATATAAAATAAAAACACAGTCGACACGAGAGAGAAATAGAGAGATTAACTAGATAACAAATAGAAGAAGAAAGAGAGACCCATATTCGAAAACAACCACGGAAAGGAGCACGTACAAAAAACATAGAGAAATATATAAAGAAATCGTTCAAAACAACACGCCATAAGAACAAAACTCCTGGGACGTGGCTGAGAAGAGGATAAAGCCATATGTTCTAGATTTCTATGCCTCGTGAGCTCTCGGTACGCCGTTCTGTAAATGAGGACACGCGCCGATAAGTATATTGGACTCGTCCTCAGTGATGCTTTTACAGTCTATCAATGTTAGGTGTATGGATCTATATTAATGAGTCAGTCCAGGTTTTCTATGGATATTTACGTAGTAGTTTTCAAATGTATCGGGTGTATAGTAGTATAATCACTACAGTAATTTATGGGGGTATTTGAGAGTGGATTTCCATAGAGAGTGACGAATCCAGTGACGGAGTGGTCATGATATACGGTAAGTATAGTAGATAGAGTCGAGGTAGTGAAAACACAAGGCTGTTGTTCAAGTAAGTGAGAGAGTTTTAATTTATTTATTATTTTACTAATTTCTTATTATTATTCGTGTCTTTTTATTTTCGTGTTATTTATTTTTACATTTATTCACGTGTATATTAATTATAAAATATATATTAATTATTTATTTTATTAATTCGATGTTTATTTGGTGTTTTTGTTACCTATTATATACTTATTTTTATCGTTTTTACTGATTATATTATTTATTTCTATTTACTACTATCTATTATACTCTTATATTAATATTATGAATAATAATTAAATTGTATATTATATCCTGTAGAGATGTAAAGATATGTCTTGGGTAAGAGTGTTTGTTCATTTCAAGTCAATCTGCATCTCAAACATCACCAAATTCACACAGATCCGCTATCGGCAGTTATGCTGTTCTTCGAATTTCGAGTATTTGCTTAGCAATGGACTACAACACGTAGAAACTCCGTCCTCCGCCAGCAGCCTATCTTGGAATACCTGTAAATAGTTTGTCTCTGTTATGATCTCGGGATGGACCGTATAGCGAGATTCCAAATGTAGCAAAAGGGTAAAGAAATTGAGACAGTTTATTTCAATTCGGAGCTAATATTTTCCATCGGAAAGCGGCACTATACAAGCGCTATACAAGCGCCTCCGAACCTGGACAGACGATCACGCGAGCAACACCACCGAGCACACAGGTGATCTCACTAGCACCCGCGTCCCGCTGCGAGAAATCCCCTAGAGGACTCACCAAATCAATG